ATACATATAAGATAAAAATAATGATATTATTCGTGTTATTCACGCTATATTTCGTTTCGAAATCAACGGGAGTTGAATTAAGAATAAGGGATGAATCAGCTCATACAACATCAACACGGCCAATAAGTCTGATCATAATAATTATGATTGGAATTGTTATAGCAATTATAGGAATATCTCTAGGAATATTTTTTAATTATTACTGTTCGCGAAAACGAGGTCATATTCATCCTTCTGCAAGTAATAAAACTAGAGAACTTGGTGCAATACCTAAGGGAGAAAGCACATCGACTTCTAAGCAGCTAAAAATACCACAATATGGTAATTCATCAAAACATGAACCAATCGTCATAAAACAACATGGCCCCGCCATCGATATTACAGAATCTGATGATCTTCCAGATTCATTGTTTTATCCTACTACACAGACAATTTATGAATCTAAACAAGCTTCAAATTCTATGATTAATTTGGCTCCTTCTCAACAACCTAATCTATCTTCTGCTGAAAGTCAAGAAATGATAAGATCTCATTCCGGATGAATTTTCCTTTATATAGAGAGGCGGTTAAGGACGGGACATTCCATATTATACATTTTGTAGATAATCTCGATAATAATAAAAAAAATTAGAATAATGAATTAAACTTCTTTGGATAAAAAAAAAGGTTAATATAATTTGTATATATATATATATATTAATGAAATGCAACACATATAATGTATTATTATTATTACAACTTTTTTTTTTAAATTCTGACCTGGGGTTGTTTTTCACTTGCGAAATTTCTTTTTTTCCTTCGTTTTCTTGTATTTAAACATATAATAAAGGATTATTTTTAAGATACTTTAGATACCTTTTTAAGGAAAAATATTCTTTATATAAAAAAAAAAAAAAAAAATCTTTTTTTATTTGTTTATTAAAAAAATAAAATAAATTAATTAAAATAACGTGTTTAATCGGTGTTCTAACCTTAATTTATTATTTATTATTTTTCCGAAAAAAAATATATATATAATATATATACAGTGTATATATTGTATAATAAATTAAAAAGTTGAAATTGATATGCATTATGTACTATATATGTTATATATATGTTGAAAAGAAATGATTTCATTAATAAAAATTTTAAAAAAACCGTTAATTAACTAATAATAATTATTTAACTAATACTTTTTTTAACTAATAATTATTTAACTAATAATTAATTAACTAATATGATAATAATTAATAATAATGAATTTTATTAATTTTTAATTTGTAATATATGTATGTACGGTCAAAAAAATTTTTTAAAACAAAAAAAAAATGACAAAACTAAAGAAAAGAGATTCCGGTTTACTATTTTAAAATACTATATAATATATTATTATAATATATTATAATATATATATACAGTATATAATTTTTTTAGAGTACCGTACAAAATGTAAAATTCGGAAGAGATAACGCGAAATTGCATATTATAACTAATTAAAATATTATATATATATTTATTTGTTTATACATGAGTTTTTGTTTCCCCAGTTTAATTAAATTTACATTCGCCACAAATAATCCCATGTGACCTTATATTTTTTTTCATTTTTTATAATGGTTATTTTTCACCATAATAATATGTTTACCTGTTAAAAGGGTCAAATTTGTGGCGGTGATGATCCTAAATCAATTTCCTTTATAAGAAAAGAAAATACCGGAAATTTTATACCGCAAGAGTAACATTAAAAATCAGTAAAAGGTTTATGATTGTTTCAATCGATTATAATAATATGTTTAATTATGCTATCTTTGCGTGTCGAATTGTGGTTAAACCATATAATGATATTAAAGTTTTAAATTTATCAAGTTCAAACAATATTTGATATTTGAATAATTTGACAATATATAAAAATACATAATTATTTTCATATAAAATCGTTTGACTCATCTTTGAAAGAATGATAATTATCAAATTTTAAAAGAATTTCTGAATTATTAAAAATTTTCAATGATTATAATAATTGTTCAAATTAATATAGAATTTATAGAATTTCAAAATTTCTAATAATTGGTAAAATTTGTAAAATTATCAATTTATTTTAAAAATTAAGAAAGTTTTGACGGATATACAGACCTTCTCCTTTTTCATTTTCATCATGTTTGGTCATCAAATCATCAAAACGCTACGCAGATCCCCAATTAATATTCCCCGTAAAAATAAATGTATGAGTTTGACGTTGCGCTTTACGTTGGAACTTCTCCTTATTTCAAGTTTCTTATAGATTTTTGAATTAGCATTCAATTATTCTATTATTCTTTTACAAGTGTTTCAAGTGTTTCAAGTGTTTCAAACGTTTCAAGCGTTTGAAACATTCTTAAAGTTAATTCGTTTATACTAAAAAAAAAATTAATGTTGAATAAAATAAATTCATGAACCTTAAGATTCAAAATAATCATCATCCTGTTATTAATACACGATGTATGGTATTATTATTTTTCGCGAGTATATCGAGTATATAGAGTATATACGTATGAACTGTCTATCAGTGCTAGAGGTTTTTAGGTATATGGAAGGTCACAGACTAATGAGGATACGCCATGGATACGCCCAGTAGAACTGTTACGTAAATCACGTGATTTATCCATATGATCGTCATTTACTATTAAATTCGTGTAAAGATTGACCAGGGTTGTCTTAGTGGCGGCCTGTCTACAGTATTATTTTTGTACTATTTTTTGATAGTTTCGCATATCTTTAGGTCTTTAGTGTATCTTTTCTACTCTGTGAAAAATTTGTTGTAAGATTGTCTAAAATTTCTAAACGTCAAGAACAAGAACAAAATGAGACTTATCCATTACTTTCAAAAATACGATTTGGAGAGAACTTGGATACAAATAAAATTCAAATACCAATCTAAATAATTCATTACCAGCATTATAATTTGGAAGATAAAATCTATATTGACAAAGATAGAAACATTGACGATAATTATGAAAAGTGTGAATAGTGTTGCGAAATTATGATAATTCATTATTAGATGAAGTAAGAGATTTTATTTTCAACTGATTAATTAAAAACTAATATAATAATTAATAATTTTCTTTATTTTAAACTCATATTATTTAGACAAAATCTGTTAATTTGTCTCAACTCTCAAAGAAAAAACGATAATCCTCTTGTAAAAAATAAAGGAATGTGAATGCCTATTAACAATACCAAAATCAACACTAAATACATTAAATATATTTTATTTTAAAATTAGCAGTTGAAAAAAGCATATATCACATGATATCATGTGGTTTACGTGATAAGCGATACTAGAGAGGTAAATGATGACCTGATTAAGGTAAGGTCTAGACCGGTCTGTCCCACAAACATGACGTGCAACTATGCGTACTAGGCATGCTTGTTTTTTTTCATGGTTTCTGGAAAAACGAAAAATGGGTTCTCGATCTGTGTGCCCAAAGATGTTTGTTTAAGCTTTCAGTAATGAAAACATAAAGACTGTAATAGTTTCACAAGTCTCACGTAAATATAGTAAATATAAAAAAAAAAAATTTCAAATGACGATGATATCACATTATCCCCTAATTCCCATAGGCTATGGTGACTTTCTCCTTTATTCACTCCTTAATTTATTAAGTTTCAATTTAATAAAGTAAATGTATGCTTGTAATTAACCTCCTTTACCTCCTTCTACTCCTTTATCTCCTTTTTACCCTAATTTAAAACTATGATCAATGCTAATAATTTAAAATTAAGCATAATAATATCTCCGAATTGCTTCTAATAATAGAACCATTTATAATGGAGATGAATTTGATGAGATTTCTGTGGTTATAAACTTATAATATTGGGGTTATAGACTTAATAATATTAATAATAAATAATATGATAATAATAATAAAATTACAAATCCTCATCGGACTTTAGGAGAAAAATTCGTAAATTCACGTGGTTACACAGCCAAAAAATCATTGTCTTCTATTTTTGAGATCAATGATTATAGATATTAAATGTCAAACATTAACTTCTGATTGGGTTTGATGTATTTATGCTCTAATGAGGTAATTTATTTACTTTTAAAGGGATTCTCGGTAATATTAATCCGAAGTCTCAGATTGGGAAGACTAGTTAAACATAATGACATGAATTTCGTGATGATATCATTATACTTTACATATATATATGTTAAATATATTATATATGTGTTTCATTTTATCATTTACATTCACAATGTAAAAAAAAAAAAAAAAAAATCTGGAAATTAATTTCCTTGTTTTGAAAATTATCGGAGTACGGATTCGGAAAAAAATTCCGATGGTTAATATAAAATTATTATGTATTAAATCAATTTTTTCAAGTATATAATATATATTTATAATCCCCTTTCCCAATTTAAATACTAGTGATATGATTTTCGGAGTTATACAATACAATTTATATATGTGATTAAATGAATCGGAAATATCAACCGTCATTGATGTGAAAAAAAAAGAAAAAAAAGAATCAAATATTTTAGTATGTTTGTTCTCGTAAATATCACCTTCATTTTATTTTATTTTATTTTATTTTTTTGACATTTATGACAGCTTTCAAAAAAGTATTATTACACAGATCACCGTACACTTAATTTAGAATTATGTTTTTATTATGTTTATTATTTGATTGATGTAAAAGATACTCTTTATTTATATACTAAAAAAAATATTATCATTTAAAATATGTGACATATATATATTAATAAACATGTATGCATTAAAATTTAAAAAAGATATAATCATATAAATAAATATATTTTATCTTATTTTTTAAGGTTTAGATCGTAAAAAAAATTTTTTTTTTCTATTATTAAATATATATTATTACTCCAACTTTTTTCTAGTAACAAAATTTTGAAATTTCCATACGTCAAATGAATGAATTAATTATCATTTACCAAAAGGAGTAATTTAACAAAGTCGAAAAAAAAAAAAAGTATTAATTTACTTTGCATAAATGAATAAACATATATGTATTTTAAAGTAATGATTTAAAAAAAAAAAAAAAATTTTTTTTTTTTTATACAGTATATTAAAAAGTAAGATTGTACGACTTGTACTTAACAATTAAAGTAATCAAAAATTTTATAGTTTCTTAAAATCAATTAATTTTTTTTTTAATTTTTTTTTTATACTGTACGTTTAATTTATAATATAATGATGCACTTTTTTAAGCAAAGATCCGAAAAAAAAAAAATTTTTTCTTTTTTTTTTGACGCGCCACTGCGCCACAAGAGTTTTTTCGGTCGATCATTTCCTTACCTGATCTTATAAAGAAATTCTTTTTTGATATAAAAATAGCAAGATCCTTTTATCTCAAAATGACAAATGGATACCCTTTTTAAAGTTATACGGACAAAGTTGTCCGCAAAATAAAATTTCTTTGTATGATAAAAATGATAATTTCATTATGAAAATTATGAAAATAACAGTATCGAAAGAATTAAGAAAGAATTATTTTGTTATTGTATTTCCCAAAAATGATCAACTACTGTACGTGTAACATTTTCCTTATTATTATTCAGAAAAAGAGATTGTACTGTATGTTGAAATCATATTTCGAAACAACAAAACAACCCCTGTAATTTAATATTCATTTAAAATGCCTATTTGAATTATTCTTTCCAACAATAAATGAATTTATAAGTACAATAATAAAATAAATTGAATTTTTTTTTACTAAAAAAAAAAACCATCAAATAATTAATTAAAAAAAAAATTTGAAACTAATACATTTAAAGAATAATATAGAGGCCATTATAAGATAAATATGGAGACCATTATAAGGTAAATATGAGACCATTTAAAGACAAACA